GCGGTGGCCCACGTCGTCCATGCCTTACGCCGCCCTTGGTCATAGAAATGATGTAATTTGAATATAAATTATTTATAAATACGTATGTCAAGTTATATTTTTATTACTACGTAAAATATATTTAAGAGTTTACGGCCACTGTGCCTGGTGAGACGTTGTCGAAACAAAAAACGTTATGCATTCCATCACGTACATAAACAGTGTTGTAATTCGCCAAGTGCAAATTAGCAAATTCGTAAAATTTTTGTTTATTTTGAACAATCCGGATAATCGAAAATCCGGATAATGGAGGTTCTACTGTACTTGTGTTCGGCGGTTTTATCCATTCGGCTACTGGAGGGCATGCATTAGGAAAGTATCGTTCAGAAATGAAAAAAAATCCGAGTGACAAGTGCTATATGCTACCTGTCGCAATAATTAAGTGAATGTAATATATATTTTTTTAAAAAATTATATCGTTTTTTTGTAAGAATTATATTTAGTTTATGGGAAAAGATGATCCACCTTACGACATTTTCATGATACGATCTCAGTTTCGGAACGGATTAATTTCGTATCCTGAGGTACCACTGTATATATGTCACTGCGTTGTATGTAATTAATAAAATAATGCATTCAGTACCTCAAGCTGTGTAGCGGAGTTGATCTAGGTGAGCGAACAGCCGAGGGGAATGCATCCCGGGAAGACTTTTATGTAAAGCTGCCCCCTATTGCCCGTGAAATAAACCCGGAAACTGCACATTGCCCAAACCCATGACAAACTAACTACAGTAGAACCTCGATTATCCGGACTAATTGGGAATGAAGGTAGTCCGGATAAGGAAAAATCCGGATAATCGAAACAAATACTTTAATTTGTCTTTTAATGACAATACAACACGTTTTCTTTTCGATGACATATCAGTAATATTAAAAGTAAANTTTAAAAAATTATATCGTTTTTTTGTAAGAATTATATTTAGTTTATGATTTTGTTGAATTTTTTGACAATAGATAGCGCTACGTGTAAATCATCGTTTCTAATGTAGGAAATTAATTGATTTACAGAAATTAAATAGATATTTTGGGATGGGATGTACGACATTATCCAAGTTAGAAGTATGTAAGCGCAACTGCCAAGTTTCGTAGCAATTGGTCGAACGACCTAGGATTGTATAGCGAACAAACAAACATCCTTCTTTATATACATAGATGAAGAATGACTAGCTGATATGACCGGCGTTACTCGGACAAAAAATAACAGCAAAGATTAAGATTATTAGATTATTTTGTATTTCTAACCCTTACATTATATTATAGTATTTGATTTACTGTATAACTACAAAGGTTATCTTAGGTAAGAGTTTATCACACAGAGGGCCTCTTTTAGCAAGCCCATTATGGATTCGGCCAAGCCTACAATGGGGCGGCTGCTGGGTGGTGAGGGATGAAGTCCCCGAAAAATTCCTGGGGATTTATCGACCCGTATAATATAATGTAATAGAAGGGTTAGAAGCAGTGCCGGCCCGAGGCAAGTTTTAGGATGGAGCGAGATCCTATTATGGCGCCCGGGGTGGAACCCCTCCCACGCACTCGACCCACGCGCATCTCAACAGATAAGGCCATTCACATACTGGCCACACGCTTGCAATTAAAATATCGAAAAGTGAAAAAAATATATTTTTTTCCTAGGACGCCTTAGCGCCTGGAGCAGCTGCTCCGTTCGCCCTATGGTAAGGCCGACTCTGGTTAGAAGTACGAAATAATCTAATAATCTTAATTTCTGCTGTTATTTTTTGTCCGAGCAATGCCGGACTCATCTGCTGGTAGATTATATATAGATTTTGAACAATTCAGAAAATTTATTTTGAGATTTCCGATCTTGATTTGGGTCCCTTTCTTAACTGTTTGCCTTCGGACCCATTAACTTACAGTTGCTCCATTCAGTCTATGAATTAATTTAATAAACAATGATGCATTTGATAATCATAATTATTTACAGTAGACTTTATTTTTTATATATGTAAAAAGTATTTGAACCTATAGCTTGAGGTAGGTGCAAACATTGAGGTACTTGAAAGTGTCCGCCCAAACAGTTTGAGCATGAAGTGTAACACAGCTCTAGTTAGACCAAACTGTGCAGCCGCATAAGGCGCTTAGACAAACGTTAATTGGCAAGCCGATGACTACTAAAATGTCTTTCACAGAGTGCAGATAAGATCGAAACGAGACATATCGTAGATCATCTTATATTTCACAAAACGTATGTATTTTAACAGGATCAATAAAGATTCAGTCCAATTATTTGAGGAACAACAATATTGATTCATTCCTCCAAGCCGATCGCGGCTACATGGCTTGCCATAATATTTCCATTACTGATTCTCAATAGGATAGGACACCACGGGTAGAAAGAGTCTCAACCTGTAGCGCCCATACCGACAATAAAGGATCCGTCAAAGACTAATACTTTACTGGCGGCCATCTTGTAGATTCGTTGGCAATGTATCATACTTTCGCTTGGCACTTCACGTACAGTATTTATTATCACAATAATAAACCAATTACTTATTTTGAAATACAGTAGAGCGTCGATTATCCGAAAGTCAATCATCCGAAAGAATTCCAGTCGGCAAATTTAAATTTTCGCCAGTGCTGTGGCGCTGCAATCTTTGGCCATGTCTTGTGCTACTCAAATATTTTACGTTTTTGATACTAAATTAACTTCTGAAGTATAATTTTTTATTGTTTTTATATTTTTCAATATATTTATTTTGTTCGTACAAAATAAAAAAATAATTTTTAACGATACAATAGTCTTCGTTAGGCTTAACATCGACGAAAATTCAACGCGAAGCGACACGCAACGGAGAAAAATGTCAAGATGGGATAAATTAATATATTTTTTCGTACATAATCGGTTATCCGAAACACCGAGCTTCCGAACAACCCCAGTCCCAATTGATTCGGATAATCGACGCTCTACTGTATTGTCATTTTTCATTAAATTTTAATAATATATGATATCATTGTTTTTTAATTAATCTAAAAATACAAGTACAGTATAACTTAAAAGGAAACTTTTTAATGTATACTCTATTTTCATTATTAGCATTATTCATTATTAATAAAAATTTGTTCCTCAATGATATTAGAATGAGGAAATGTCAGTTTTCATTTTGCTAAATAACTAATATTTTCAAATTCACAACTATTATTGAAACATTTAATTTAATTAACTTTAGATGAAATGAATGAAAGATTTATCTGTTGACAACTTTTCTAATTCTTCTCTTTTCTGTGAATCATAGTGAAGAGTTTGCCATTTTATGTTGTAATTATCGCAGCTTTGCTTCGATAGTGGCATAATTAAAAAGCAAAATCATGTGTTTTGGTTGTGCCCCTGTCAAAGCAAAGAAGCGATATTTTATTTTTAGTAATGGATCTCAATTTATTAATTTGTCCTACATATTTTAAGCGCGAAGAATTTCAATTTTTATCCCTGATTTTTCTTCAATTAGCATTTGACATAATTAAATGAACATTAAGTAAGTAAATTAGTATATAATGTAATTTGGTTTAATTTTTTTCAAAAGTAAACTTCATAAAATATAGGGCCTAAGACATTGCTTTCATATATTTATATATGAATGAAGTCGAGTTTAATATTTATTATTTTATATGACTTTTAATTATTAGTTAAATGATGATCCAAAGTATCTTCTTATCCCGAATAAAGGCGGATATAATAATTTTAATGTATTAAAAAGAAAAAAAAACCGCTTTTATTGGTCATGTTTTTAGAGATTGAAAAAAATGGTTGGAGTGGATCACCCTACCATATATTATACATTTCTAATTGCATTCACATAAACACATGATTAAATTCTACATTTAGTTATGTTTATCGGATTTCGGGATGAGGAGGATGATGGGGATGTGGCCACTCCTAAAACAACATTAAAATGAATTGTCATCGTACTTAGGCGTGTTTCATCCTTCTATCTTAATTAGAAGTAGATGAAATTTGAGGGTGATACAAAACAAGTTAAATAAAAGCGTTTAATAATAAAATCTGTGTTTATAGTGTTTTTTCTTTGTTTTTATCCTAAAATTTAACATGAGCTCTTGCAATAAACCTTTACAAACACGCATTTTGGTACATCATCCTTAATATCTTGCTTATTTTTTTTATAATACTCTGAAAACCACGATGATTGCAACGGTAAAATATCTCAAATGATCACTCTTACTATTTTTATTTTAGATACTTTCATACTGACCTGTGCGATAACAAATCTATTGGACTCAAAGTATTGATATTGATATTTATAAAGATATTTTTTAGTGAAAATTGTTATTACCACATCTGTCATCACGTAATTTTTATTTTATTTACAATTGTTATTTTTATTTTTACTAAAACTATCTTTTTAAAGTATTGTAATTACAATACTTTATATATCATTTTCACATAGCATTCTCTGTTACATTGAAATTCATTCTATATTGGCGAGTTTAAGCAAGAAAATCTTTTAGAATTTTTAAAAATCGATAATAACTAATAATTTGCATTTAATTTCGAAAGGTATTGCTAGACCGTCTTTAATTAAATTCTCTATATTAGAGAGGTTGCGGCCGACGTTTCCATCGAGAAAACGTTTACGTCGGACGTTCAGCACCGCATTCCTGTAAGCCTAGAAGTTTGACAATGGAGTTTGGAACATCAGTGGAATCATGCTCGACGTTCCAAACTCCATTGTCAAACTTCTAGGCTTACAGGAATGCGGTGCTGAACGTCCGACGTAAACGTTTTCTCGATGGAAACGTCGACCGCAACCTCTCTATTAATTTATTCTAATAAAAACTAAACTCTGAATATTTTATTTAAATGAATTAAATCACTCCAAGGAATAAATAAATATATCCTCTTTAGTTATGACAAATGTATTATTAGCGAGGTTGCGGCCGGAGTTTTCATCTCTCAGACTTGAACGTCGAACGTTCGACGTTCACGTTTGAGAGATGGAAACTTCGGCCGCAACCTCGCTATTATTTTTTCTGACTTTCAATGTTTACAAATTACAGGTTTGTTTATAATATATAATTTCTAAGCTATAGTATACAGTATATGAACGGCAGAGTGGACCACATTATTGACCATAATACTATAGTTTTAAGAATGGGGATTTCTATCGCAAAGATAACTTTTCAATCTTCTGCCAAACTGATAATTAGAATAGAATGAAAATGAAATTTATATTTTTGATTTGTGATAAATGTTTTTTAAAACTGAAGGCAAATTAGATTTATGTAGTTTGAATACGGCTTATTTTAAAGCAAACAGGATATAGAAATTCATTTTGTTTAAACGGCAGTATCCGCCATATGAATATCTTTATAATTGTATGACGATTAACACTCGTTAAAGAAAAATCCTTCACTGTTACATTCTCTACGGATAAATAAATTACGATATAATAAATGCTGAAAGGAATAATAATTATTTTTATTTTCGATAATGAGTCATCTCTCTTCCCATAAGTCTGTACTGTACGTTCGGAAAGATGGCGGCCACTAATACGAATTTAACAGGAAAGTTTAATATTAGAAGATGAAGTTTCATTTTAGGTAATGATTTAATTCATTTTACACGGATAAGGAACACGTGACGATTCGATGTAATTGACAACTTCGATTTAACAATAACGAGAAGGAAAATATATTAATCAATTTCCATGTCAATTTCGTAAACATAATCAACAGGAAGGCATGTGCTTGCTTTATATAAGTCTACCGACGATTTTAATTATTGATTTCTGTTAATTTAAACGATTTTAACTATTATTATGTGTTTTATATAACAGTTAAATAAATTGAAAAACTGGAAAACTTAAATGGCGTTTCGCTGAAGTGTTGTTACAGAATATTGTATACACGGAGGCCGGATTTTTTTTGCTAGTAAACTAAATAAAATGCAGCTTAGAGCCTGGTATTTTTAATTATATCATTATTTAGTAGAGGGGAAGGGCCTCCTACATGTTATAGCCTAAGGCCACAAGAAGTCCATCTCTTTATATACAGTGTGATGTGATATAAATTGTTAGTAAATATATTTAAACCAAAATAGTATTTTATGTTGTATTTCTGTTTCTATTTTTACTTATTTAATCATTGTTTTAATTTAAAGGTCATAGATCTTCATAAATTACAAGCCAATGTTTTAAATAAACATTTTTTGTTTTTTTTGGGAGTTTATCCTGGAATTCCTTTTCAGATATTCACTGATTTGTTACAAAATACGTTATGCAATTTACACAATGGTAAATTTAAAGTTGTTTACTTATATTTATTTTAATAAAAATAGTATATATTATGATAAGTATATTTTAAAATATATTTTGATAGAGTTTTTGTATTAAGTTACTTTGATTATTATTGTTGGTATTATTTTTATTGCAATAAATCTATTATATTAATTTAAAAAATTGATTATGCTTATATAGTACCAAAACGTCATCTTACTCTATGATGAAAAGGTGTCATTTCCTTAGGGTAATTTTGAACCTTTTTATTGAGTAGAGCATATAGAATCTTTAAGCATAAATAATTTGTTTTTTTGAGAATTTATTTTAATTTTAAATAATGTAAATTATATATATATATATATATATATATNAAAATACATTCTATGTATTTTACAAGTAAATCATAGCTGTGTTTTAGCTACTGTGGTAACTTAGCTAAATTACTTAATGTACGTTTAACAAAGGGTTTTTTAAAAAGAGCACTAATGTTTTTAATTTAGCTTTGAACTGTCCATGTCTGAGGATGGCATGGATATTTGAAAGATGAGTGCTTGTGTTGGAAGAAAGGCTGAAAAGATAATCTCTTATAAAGTAAACAAGTGGGGGAGGTTGGCTATGATTGTGGCAATTGATGTGAAAGAGCAAGTAGATATTGCCAGACAGGGAAGGGAGTTCTTGTCCCTGTTGTTTATTCGTATGTTGGTAACATGCCTTTCCACGATGCTGGTTTAGGGGTGAGAGATGGTTTGGATGATTTTGGCTGCCTGCCAATTTATCTCTGTACTGGAAATTTGTGTGTAGGAAGACAAAATTATAGCATCAAAATATAAAGCAAAACAGAGCCATGGAGTGTGATATAGAGATATATCACACTCCATGGCTCTGTTGATATATCACACTCTCATGTCCGTGAGGTGACAAAGGTTGCCGGTCAGCAATCAGCAATCTTTGTCACCTCACGGACCACTAAAGTCACAATTTTGAATCCTGGGACCATTATCATGAATTTTTTTTAAACAATACAAAATCTGTAGAATAATGATCATAAAAGTTCAATTTGACTATATTAATATGAAACTCTCATGTTTAATTATAACAGATTAATGCAAGCCTAAAGTTCATTGCTGCTTGTTTGAAACAAGTTTATGGATTCTTTGCGCTTTTCAACAAAGGATGACCATCACACTCACAATATTGTTTATTGTTCATTATTTATTGATAACAGTCACTTTGTTTTTGGTTATAGATTTGAATAAAAAATTCCCAATGAGTGAAAAAAGCAACTAAGCATTTTGCATTTCTTTCATAATACTTCGCGTAACCTTTGGTTGATCAATGTTCAAATTTCTCCACGGACCACCCAAATTTTCTTGTGGACCACTGGTTGCCAACCGTTGGTCTAGATCAGTGTTTTTCAACCTGTGGGTCGCAACCCCCCTGGGGGTTGCGAAGCCTTACACGGGGGATCGCGGGTAGAAGAAAAAGACAAGTGCTTGTAGGTCCTACACTACATTAAAAAATCTACAATTTCAGCGAGAATTACAGCCCACCCCAGAAAATGATAGCGGAGAAAGTATTGAGCTGATTTGCAAAAGCAAATAAAAAGTAGAAAAGTAGAAGCTGAAAATTCAGATCCTAAAAAAGAAAAAAGGTCAACAGTTTCATACTTTGTGTGTTAAATTATTGTCGATTCTTCTGAAATTTTCATTTTAATCAACAATAATTTATTTCAACAGAAAGAAAATTAAATATTAAATACATAGCTTTTAAAATCACTGATATAGTTTTAATATGGCCCTAGAGGGGTCGCCAGAGTTTTTTAACTTGTAAAGGGGTCGCACATTCAAGAAGGTTGAAAAACATTGGTCTAGATGTTGCTTTGTTTTTGAAATAGTAATTTAAAATTTCAGTTTAAGTTCTTTGATAAAAATTATTATATAACTGGATTGCTGTATATTAGATCTCTATGTAATAATTTGCTGTGAGTATGTCTACCATTTGTTGGATTACAGAGACGTATTACATAGAGATAAAAATTATTGTTATAAATCCATAAAATGTTTGTAATTTAAAATATGTATTATATATTTTATACCAATCTTTTCTATTAATTTAGTAGATTGATTAATATCAGTATGTTATATCTGATTTTTAAACATGTACTGTACATATCAATATCAAAGGTTTTATTTGTATGTAAATTTTATCTTTGAAATAATGTATAGATTTTTATTTCAATTTTTATATAGCTGTTGAAGATGCTAAATGATTTCAACTAAATTACAAATATTCTTTTATAATCTTGAATGTTTTTGAATAATGGCATAAGATATGTCAATTTTATAAATGCTTACGTATATTTAAATCTAAAAATATATTCAGAAGTCAGATGCCAGTTTATTATTAACAAAATCCTGTTAATATAGAATTGAAGTCAAAATTTGGAAAGAAATAAAACTAATAAATTTTCTTTAACACTTTATATAATTATGGTACTGTTATTGATTTAATGCAATTTTACTCTAAATATATTTTCTTCTAAACAATTTTTGTTATATATTACAGATATATTCAATTTTCTATTTCCTCAATTAATGCGTACTACTTTAGTCATAATTAATTGCAAATTTGTAAATGTACTGTCATACAATATGAAATTATATTAAAATTTTAATTAGGTATGTGTTTATATTTATGCAAACATTTACCAAAATTATATCATGAAAATTTTCATTTTACATTGGGTTTAAGCTTTTCAAAATTTTGCCTGGGTATTTCAGTCATAAGTGCTAACTCCAATAAATAACTAGTGTACACGGAGATGCATTATTAAGAGTGAAATAGTCTAAGAAAGAAAGGAAAAAGTTTTAAATATTGTTTGAGAATTTTGGATATGTGTATCTCACAAGGTCTAAGAAAATAGAATATTTAAAAAATAACCGAAACAAAGCTTTTTTTAATCAACTTTTTGTTACACATTTATCGTTTAAATGAAATAAAAAAAAACAAAAAAAAACCTAATAAATATTAACAAAATACATTCTACGTATTTTACAAGTAAATCATAGCTGTGTTTTAGCTACTGTGGTAACTTAGCTAAATTACTTAATGTACGTTTAACAAAGGGTTTTTTAAAAAGAGCACTAATGTTTTTAATTTAGCTTTGAACTGTCCATGTCTGAGGATGGCATGGATATTTGAAAGATGAGTGCTTGTGTTGGAAGAAAGGCTGAAAAGATAATCTCTTATAAAGTAAACAAGTGGGGGAGGTTGGCTATGATTGTGGCAATTGATGTGAAAGAGCAAGTAGATATTGCCAGACAGGGAAGGGAGTTCTTGTCCCTGTTGTTTATTCGTATGTTGGTAACATGCCTTTCCACGATGCTGGTTTAAGGGTGAGAGATGGTTTGGATGATTTTGGCTGCCTGCCAATTTATCTCTGTACTGGAAATTTGTGTATAGGAAGACAAAATTATAGCATTACCTTCCTTAATGTCATCTTTATGCTTGGTGAGCCTCTGATCATGGAATTGGGAAATGTATCCAATATGTGTTGATGCCCATCTCCTTGTTTATAGTTGGGATGATGTACATTCCACTGCTCCATTTGTCTTTAACATTCTCTAGGAGGCAGTATAAAGTCAGGCAGTGTGCTTACTTTTGTTTTTAGTGATGGATTTGAAGATATGTTGAAGGGTTTTGGAGTACCTGAATATGGAAGAGGAAGTAGGCTTACATTTTGGCATGTTTTAATTAGTATATGTAATGTGTAATTAGTATTACAGTGATATGTTCTTGATGAGTCAGAAAATATTATGCTTCTGTAGACTATTCCATAGTGCTAGATGAATGATCTTGCTTAGCTCTGCATTGCAATCTGTGACCTTGGACAAGTGAGTATATAGTATGCTTGATTAAGACAAGGAAGGCTGCAATTTTATAGGTGAAGGAGTCAAAGAGGAAGATATAGAAGGGTTGGAAGGTTAGCTTAAGTAGACCTTAGTGTGGATTTGCCTATCTATGAATGAAAGATTGATGTCAAAAAAGTTAACATTATATTTATCCGATCCATTTATAGGGTTAGACTAATGATTATTATTTATTAACTAAAGAAAAGCATTGAAATCGGGTTTGTATTTCCAAATTATCAAGACATTGTCTGCTTAGCCTTTATAATAAACAATGAATGATGTATGTGTTTTAAATCACATTTTAATTTTGTAGAAATACTTGCTGTTACTTTATATTTGATATATAACAAAAAATAGAGGAATTTTCAGAAATTTCTGGTAGTGTCATGCTTAACTTCAAATACAATCATTT